AGAGAATGGAGGAGAAGGGATTGCGGCGTGACCATCCCCTCTGGGGGGTGATTTCTCGCTTTCTGTCTCTCTGTCTCTCTCTGTCTTTCTGGCGAGTGCACGCGCCCTATAGCGAAAACCTCTCAAAAAAAATAATAAAAATAATTGTTTTATTTATTTATTTATTCGTTTATTTTAATTTGACCAGAGAGGGACACAGCAAGAAAGAGAAGGAAAGTAAGAAAGCCAGCCACCAGGTCTGGGACTGGAACCACTGTTAGCCATGTGGGAGTCCAGCACCCTTAACCACCACGCCACTTGGCGGCCCCACCTGGTATAAGTTTTTAAGGCACTGGGGTTTGGGACTCGAACTGTGGTCAGCTACGTGGGAGTTCAGTGACATAACCCCCTTTTTAAATTCTTGCAAGGCCCCTTTCGATCACATGGAACCCACCTAAATAATCCTGGGTCATTTCCCTATCTCAAGCTCCTTAGCCACATCTGCAGAGTCCTCAGTGCTGTGTGGGCACTGCACAGGCGCCAGGATCGAGGCTTGGAGGGTCGGGTAGACCATCACTCCACCTACCATACAGGGTGGAGGTGAGGACGGAGGGGGAGGATACAGGTAAAACGCCTGCGCGTCCTGGGAGGTACTAAACCCTCGGCTAGTACCAGTTGTCCTGGGATTCAGAGCCAGCCAGAGAGCTTGGAAGCCAGGATGCTGGGCTCACCCACCTGTTTGCTCCTCCACTGCAGACCCTGAAGAACCGCTGGCTCCAACAGTACAGCCATGACTCGGCAGACCCGGGCATCCTCGTGCTCCTCGCCTGTGGCACCATCTCCAGCACTTGTGGCCAGATAGCTAGTTATCCCCTGGCCCTGGTCCGGACCCGCATGCAGGCCCAAGGTGAGGCCTGGGTGGCAGGATGGGGCAGGGGAAGTCTTGCTGCATGGGTCCCTCGTCCTCTTCCCCAACGTCTCTTAGGTGGAGGCCTGGGCTGGGACCCTCTTGGATCTGGATGGCCTTCACTACGCTGGAGGGCCTTCACGCCGTCCTTACTCTTGCCCGGGCCTCAGTTTACCCATGGGTGACATTAGAATGGGAGTCCTGTACATTGATGGAGTTGAAGAAGAATCGGGAGAACAGATGCAGGTCTTGCTGAAAAGTGTCCTAGTGAGCCTAGCCGGGCAGCCCCTGTAGCAAATGTGTCACATTTCCAGGCTGGTAATCTGAGCTGTAATTTGCAAGGCTGTGTTATGGTGAGGGGGAGGCTAGGAACAGGGTTAAGGAGAGTTAGGCGCAGGCTGGTGATCGTTTTCCTCTGTATTTTTTTCTTCAATGGGTTCTTTCTTCTACCCTCCAACCCACTCCCCAGGCTCCGTGAGTCCGTTTTGAGAATTTCCTTGGGAATACTAGCATTTGGGTTTTAGTGGTTTGCAGGGAATTTATCAGTGCACAAGACAGGCATGGTTCCCGCCCTCCTAGAGCTCATGGGCTGGAGAGGAGGAACCGTGCTGAACAGATCATTCCACGATGCAGTGCTGATGTAAGCTTGCATCAAGGGGGAAGGAGGAGGTTGGCTGAGACTGGGGTGCCAAGGAGCGCTCTCCTGAAGAGCTGGCTTTGGAATAGAGGTTGGGAGGATAAGAGAAGTTAGCTGGAAAATGAAAGAGGGAATCAAGTTCCAAGAAAAAGGACATTTCTATCCCTCCCACCACACACACACACACACACACGCACACACACACGCACACCCACACACACACCCTGCCCCGTTTCTCATTGTCCTCAAACTTGGGCTCTAAAGTTCTGACTCGGACCAGCAGTTGGCATAATGGCTATGTCGCTGGACTTCCATATAGTCAACCGTGGTTCGAGTCCCGGACCTGGTGGCTTAAACTCATGCCAGTTGCGTGTGCGTGCGTGCCCAAGATCCCGAGAGGAGAATGGAGGAGAAGGGATTGTGGCGTGGCCATCCCCCCAGAGGGTGATTTCTCGCTTTCTGTCTCTCTGTCTTTTTCTGTCTTTCTGATAAGCGCATGTGCCCTATAGCAAAACCCTCTCAAAAAAAATCAGAAGTCCTGACTCTGAGCAGCAGGGCCCACAATAGTCTAACCCTCCTCTGTCTTGCTGCCCTGGTCCCGTAGCCCAGCCTGGGTAGCTAGGAGGTAGGAGGGGGTCCCGTAGCCCAGCCCTGGACGGGTCGGCGGGTGAGCGGGAACACCGGCCTTACCTGCCCCCTGCCCGCCCCAGCCTCCGTGGAGGGCGGGCCCCAGCTTTCCATGCTGGGTCTGCTGCGGCACATCCTGTCCCAGGAGGGCATACGGGGCCTCTACCGGGGCATCGCCCCCAACTTCATGAAGGTCATCCCAGCTGTGAGCATCTCCTATGTGGTCTATGAGAACATGAAGCAGGCCCTGGGGGTCACATCCAGGTGAGGGGCCCGGAGCCCGCCCCTCGAGATCCCTCACCCCATCTTGACGTCCTACACCCCTCAGCCTCTGGAGAATGATGGCCCAGCTGCTGGGCGCCCCCACCCCAGCCCCTCACACCCCGACCACCGCGCCCTGTTCTTCTGTCACCTGAGCCGGATTCCCGAACCACCAGATCCAAGACTATCCACACCCCGGCCCTTAACCCTGATCCCCCTCACCGGATCCTGCACCCCTACATCCCAAAGGTCAACCCCGCATTCCCCTTCCCCACCCACCGGGTCCTGGACCTTCGTATGTCTTGACCACTGGATCCCCCACAACTCAGCGAATGGATCCTGATGTCTCAGCCACTGGAGCACACGCCCCCCGCACCTCAACACCCAGACCCCGTCTCCCCCAGGCACCAGATCCAGTGTCCTCGTGCAGCACTGGATCCTAGACCCCCAACCCCACTGGCAAGGCCCAGACCCCCACGCCTCCAGCCCTGGACCTGCCAGCTCCGACACTGCGTTCTGGATGTCAAGGAACCTCAGCCACCACATCCTGACCATGCAATGCCTAGATCCTGGGGCCCCCATCACCGGATCCCAGATCCCTCCGCCTCGACCACTGGATTCCTGAATTCCTTTCCCTCAACACTGGGTCCTGCTTCGACTTCTGGACCCCTACACTTCCGGCACTACGCCCTCACCCCCGATCACTGGATCCCAGATTCCCAGGTCCCGACCCACTGGATTCCGGCTCCTGAAACCTGGGAGCCCAGCGACACAGCAAGTGCATGCTGGCAACGGCTGCCATAGGTTCCGGACCACGGACCCCAGCTCCCTTCACTCCGGTCACTGGAGACGGAGACTCGCCCCAGAGAAGGCACACCCCTAACTCCCAGGCGATGGTTCCCAATCCCTTAACCCCTCATTTCTGCTCGAAATCGCCCAGACACTGGATCCCCAATGCTCAGACCCCAGGTGTAGATATGGTAGGCTAACCACAGCATCCCAGATCCCATGCACCCCCATCTGGCTCTGCTCCCCATGACACGGGACCACAGGGTCTAGGGAGCCCACATCCCTGCTCCAGAATACCAAGGGGTTGTCCCACATACCCGATACTGCTCAGCACCAGGCAGGGAGGGAAGGATGCGTCCCCCAGACCTGCACACCACTGGATCCCCCCACCCCACCTCCCCAGCATGGCCACACCTCCTGGCCCTGTGGGGAACTCTCCCCAGAAGTACCCCAAGCACCACCCTACCCTCACACGGCGTCTTCCCTCCCCATAGGCTGACCGCCCCCACCACCCCAGTCCTCATTCCTGGGGACTGGCCGGGAGACAATCTGAAACGGGGGACACATGAAGAGGGACCTCCCCAGCCCTGCCCAGCCACCCCGTCCCCAGGCTTCAAACGATTAGAAGCCGGGAGTCATTCTATACGGACTACCAGTCCCCAAACCCAAGCATCCAATTTGACAAACACAGACAGCCAAATTCCAAAATTCACTCCACATTTATTTTTCTACAGAGAAAAGAACAAAGCCCCCCCCAGCCCAAGAATGCAGCCCTTCCCCACATCCCAATCATTCTGCACTTTATAGTCGGACTCGGCCTAGGACAATGGGAGGGCTCCTCTCCGCTCCTCTTCAGTCCTTGGGGAACCCCATTAAGGGGCTATACAAGAGGAGCTGGGATACGGGGGGGACTGGAGGAACCCCCACCCCACGGCTTCCACCATGTCCCGCCTCCCTGCCTGTGTGTGTCATTTCAAAGGAAAAGAACAAAAGAAATAAATTTTCTAAGCTCTTTTCATTGTGTTTTTTACTGAAAGGGGGTGGGCGGAAGTGGGACCACTTCCATGTGCCCACAGAGACGGGGCCGTGTGTTTTCCAACACAGTTCCAAAAAGTAGGAAATGATCCCTTCATGCCTCAGTGTCCACACCTAGAAATCTGAAAGGGGAGGAGTAATGTTTATAACCCCTCTAGGATTTTTCTGTATTTTTTTCTTTCCTTTTCCTTTTTTTAAAATAATTATTTAATTCCATTTGTTATTACTATTTTTTTTTTAATTTAACCAGACAGAGAGAGAGAAAGGGAAAGCAAGAAAGCAAGCCAAGCCACCAGGTCCAGGACTCGAACCCCGGTTGGCCATGTGGGAGTCCAGTGCCTCTAGTCCTGCGCCACCTGCCAACCCTTCTTTCTTTTTAGTTTTACTGTAGGGTACTTGCATTCACCAGAGAGGCAGAGAGAGAGAGAGAGAGAAAGTAAGAAATCACCCCCCGCCCCAGGAGGGATGGCCATGCCACAATCCCTTCTCCTCCACTCTCCTCTTGGGGTTTTGGGCATGCACACACCCAGCATGATTT